CGGGCTGGGTCTAACCGGCCCATAAGTCAAATAATATTAATTAAATTAATTAATGAAGTGGTTGCTTTGGGATTCGTGCTAATTTTAAAGGAGTACTGAAGCAGTTGCTTTTTAAAATATAAGTAGCGTGTACTCGTTCAAAAATTATGACGTGTTAAAAAGTGTTGTGAGTGGCCTTTTCACCGAGGGCCTCTTTGGCACGGCTTATGCCGGCTTCGGCTGCATCTATTTTACGTAAATCGAGGCACTGTAGCGTGAAGCCGTTTTGTAAGCCGGGGTTAAAATGAACTAGAAGCCGGGAAAAGCCAGTTTTTCTGGTTTCACCGGCTTTGGCTTCACCGGTGAAGCCGTTTTAGATGAGCCGTGCTAAAAGGGGCTTAAGTGGAGGAGAGAGAGAGAAGAGAAATGGGTTGTCAACTTACACCCAGTTAATGCACAAGAACATTATGATTTATGAGAGAAGAAACCATCATACGAGTGGCCTAATAGGTGAGCTACAAATATCCATACAACTAGCACTGGATTAATTATCACTACTACACAAATCTTATCCGCGGCGGACGTTTTAGGTTTGCGCGGCGGGCAAAGCCGTCCGCCGCGGTCCAGAGGCCACGGTAAATGGGAGATTAACCGCGGCGGACGAGATATGCCCGCCGTGGTTAATTGATGAAAATAAACAAAAAAAAGAAAAAAACCCACACCGGGCCTGGATATGGTCTCGGCTGGATCTGGATCGCGCCGCCATGGTGGAGGTTGCCGCCGTCGCCAGATCCATGGATCCAGCCGCCGCCAAATCCGGCCTCCATGAGCTCGCCACCGACGGATCCGCCCGCCTGCCGCCGCATCTGGAGGTGTGGTGGCGGGGAACGGGCCACCGCCGCCGCGAGGAGGGGCGCACGTCGGCCGAAGTTGAGGAAGAAGGCGCCACACCGGGAGCCGCCGCGCGTTGCTGCTGCGCCAGGGAGCTGCCTCGCGCCAGCGTCGCCGGGGAAGAAGCCCGCGCCGCGTCGCCCTCCACCGAATCTGGCCAGGATCCACCGGATCCAGCTGCCATCCTCCTGGATTTGGCAGCCCTCCACAAGATCCAGCCGCCCTTGCACCACCACGGCCACCTTGCCACCATGGAGACGAAGTGTCGGCAGAGGGAGGCAAGGGGGCGCGCGGGCGGAGGGGGCAGGAGAGGCTCGCCGGCCGCTGTTGTTGCGGCGTGCTTGGCGTGGGGGAGAGACTAGAGAGGGGGGGAGGGCGTGTCGCGGGGGAGGAGCGCACGGCACGTGGGTCGTGCCTCGCAAGAGCGGCGTCTTGACCTCGCGGGGGAGGGCGGGGTGGGAGCTGAAACCCTAAGTGTTGGGTTTTATACTCGGACTTGATGTTGGGCTTTCACTAGGCCATATGGGCCTCGGCCTTAATCGAGGCGGGCCTCATAGGACGTTCGCCACGGTATCGTGGCGGACGTCCTTATACGTTCGCCTCAGAAAATACCATATTTTCCGTGGCGGACATATAAGGACATCCGCCACGGTAAATCGATTTACCGTGGCGGGCAAAAGTGCTCGCCGCGGTAAATAAAAAATGTCCGCCATAGTAAATCGCTGGCATTAACCGTGGCGGACATCCATTTTGTCCGCCACGGTTATGTTTTTGGGGTGTCACGCAAAATCATTTGTGTAGTAGTGTATATTATTATTAGACTTACTCTTATTAGCTTCCATATTAAGATTTCATAGGATTTCCTTGTATAGGTGTGCACTAAAGCAAGGCCCACATATGTGTATATGTGTTTCAGTCTGGTTTTGGAAGGTTGGATGATCTTGAGGCATGTCCAAGGTTTTAGGGGTTGTCAGTGGATTCAGCATGTGGATTGTATTGTGGCTTTGGTGTTCGACGAGGCTATATTCATCTGGAGAATCAACCACGATCACTAGGGAAGAAGGAGATGAAACGACTTGGATAGAACTTCTTATTTCAGGTCCTTTCCAATGTAATTTGGGGATGTATTATGTCAAGTTTTAATACAATTCTCCCTTCCCTTTGTAAAAAATGAAATGGAGGTCATTTCCATGGATAGTCGGTTAGCTGGGCCCTTGAAGCATCTTTAGAAGCGATTCTTGATCTAGCCGCTCCTGAAAAAAAAACATGGACGCCTCTAAAAATTATTTATGCTGTAGTGTTTTAACAATTAATTAAGTTGTTTATTTAAGGAACCATTCCAAATTAATGATCCACGTAATCCATTTACTATTGATTATCTTCCCTTACCATAAAAAAGTTAAAATGTCTCAAAATTCAGTAACCAACCCTATGGACAGGCAGGTGGTGGTTTCCAATATCAAGACTCAGATGTGATAATGTAACGTAGTACTCCCTCCGGTTTCTCAAAAAATGTCGTTTGGCTTGAAACCAGAGTGGCAAAAAGGAAGCCGTTTTGCATTTTATACTATAATAACATGGACATGTACACCCTTGCATACATGCAAGACGATTAATTCATCTCCTTGCGTGCGCATGCGAACCGAGGTGTCGCTGCTCAGCTTCTTTACTTAACGCCTCGTCGCTCGGGCCTGCTCCGCTTCCTCGGCGCTGCTTCAGGGAGGCGAGGAGTTCCACCGCTACCGGAATTCTCAAATTTACCGAGTATTTTTATATTTATCGAGTGTATTTTTTTACACTTGATGAACAAGATCATTACCGAGTGCTGCACTAAAAACACTCAGCAAAAAAAAAAAAAAAAAACACTCGGCAAAGATGTGGTTTGCCGAGTGTCAGAAAAAAGCACTCGGTAAAGATGGGGTTTGCCGAATGTAAAAGAAAAACACTCGGCAAATAAATAAAATCTTTTTTCTGAAAAAGAAGGAGAAGAAAAAAAAACTTTGTCGAGTGCTCAGATCTAGAACACTCGGCAAAAAAATAAAATATTTTTTCTGGAAAAGAAGGAGAAGAAAAGAAATAAAAAAACATTGCCGAGTGCCCCGATCTGGGACACTCGGCAAACAAAAAATATCCTACTTAACCCACCTCTCCTGTCCCTAGCGCCCCACCCCTCCCGTCTCCACCCTTCTTCTTCCCTTCTCCTCCTGGCCCCCAGTGCCCCTCCTCCCGCCGGCGCCGCCTCCCTCCCCTCCTCTCCCGGACGCCCTCTTCCCCTCCGACCGCCACCTCTCCCCTCCGCTCCCGGCCCCCTCCTCCCTCCCTCCCTTGCCGGATCCGGCCGCCGCCCCTCCCCTCCGCTCCCGGCCCCCTCCTCCTTCCCTCCCTCCCGGATTTCCTCGGATCTGGCCGCCGCGCCGCCCCTCCCCTACGGATCCGGCCCCGCCGCCTCCCACCACGCCCACCCACGACGCCCCACCGCGCTCCTCCCTGCGCCCCACCACGCCATGGACGGCGGCGGGAGGCCCTCGGCGCAGTGGCCCGGCACAGCGACCCCAGGCGCGGCAGCGCTGGCACAGACGGGCCCTGGTGCGGCAATCCCGGCGTGGCGGCAACGCGGATCCAGTGGCGCGGTGACACCGACGAGGTAGGCCCTCCTCCTCCTGGATCTAGGGTTCCGGCGGGAGGCCGATGGGACCGTGGGGAGGTGGCGCGGCTGCGTCGGGCGTCGCGGGGAGGACGGCGTGACTGCAGGGAGGCGGCATGGGTGGTGGTGGAGGTGGTGGCATGGATGGAGGCGAAGCAGGAGGTGGCCTTGGTGGTGGTGGTGGAGCAGGCAGAGGAGGCGGGCTTGGTGGTGGCGGTGGTGGTGCTGGCGGAGCAGGAGGTGGCCTTGGTGGTGGTGGCAGCGGCGAAGCAGGAGGTGGTGGTGGCCGCCGGTGGCTGGTGCTTGTTTTTTTTATTTTAAAAAAAAATGTTTGCCGAGTGTTTTTGGGACACTCATTGTCGAGTGCCCGACAAAAAACACTCGGCAAACGTAGTGTTTGCCGTTAAACCGTTTGCCGAGTGCAACACTCGGCAAACGGTTTACCGAGTGTTTTGGGGGCTTTGTCGAGTGCCCCTGGCACTTGGCAAAACTCCTGTATCCCATAGTGCACGTCGCCATGGACTACAACGCCATGGAGGACAAGGAGCAAGGCACCGACGACGAGCTCGAGCCTGCAAAAGCGAAGAAAAAAGGCCGGCAAGGCACCAGCACATGACGACTGAGGAGCGAAGGAAAAAAAAAGAAGGCAACAAACAAAACATAGGCGAGGAATTGAACTTATTAGCAGCAGCAGCAAAGCGCCTTAAGCCTAGTGACGGTAACCAGCTGGACAGAGGGGTATTATTGAATACACTTGGCGATCGACTCTATTCAAAGGGCAAACAAGTAAAAATACACCTCCATAAATCACTTCTCGGTACGTGAGATCATGTTCAAAACGACAATCTTTTGAAAACCGGAGGGAGTGCAAGTTATATTTGAATAAAGCTTCCTTCACCATCTAAAAAGCAAAGAAACACAGATACATGCACCATACCATACACCCTAGCTATATTATTAATTAACCATCAGTAGTGAACTCAGACACATACACGTAATAATGTACTCAATTCATCCTAAATTGTAAGACGTTTGACTTTTTTGACACCAAGTTTGACCACTCGTCTTATTTAAAAATTTGTGTAAAATATCACTTCTTTCGTCGTGGTTTGGTTTATTAATAAAAATTCTTCAAGAATGACTTAAATTTGACTATATTTGCACAATTTTTTTTTGAATAAGACGAGTGGTTAAACTTGAGGCTAAAAAAGTCAAACGTCTTACAATTTGGGATTGAGGGGGTATATTTTTAGCAATAGGAAAAAGGAATGCACATACTACACCAGCATTTCCCTCTAGTAACAAAAGTCCAACACTAGCTAGCTAGCTCAAGTACTAAACACAGTAAAAAGAAAAGGCTACTAGCCACCCTAGAGTGCAACCAACCTAGCCCTTGTTGCTTTCCTCACGTCATGCATCTCATCTCAGAAATAATGCAGCGACGACATAGGCTTTCCCCTCCTTTTACGTGCATGCATGCATCGCACTAGATGAAGTCCACCTCAAAGAAACCGTTGCAGCCGCCGTTCTGCTGCTGATCTGACACCGACGAGCACGACAAGATGTTGCCGCCGCCTCCGCCGTGGGCGTTGCCGCTGTGGTGCTGCTGCTGCTGGGTCTGCATCACAAGCGAGGTGATGAAGTGGCGATGCTCTTCGTCGTCGTCGTCCCGCTGCATCAGCATGGAGTCCAGGCTGCCGTCCTTCTCGTGCAGCGGCGGCGCGGCCAGAGACAGGGCCGTCGGCGCCACCCCTGCCGCCGCCGCCGCGCTGCTCGTCTGGCCGTTGTCCATGACGTCGAGGCAGCTGACGCCGCTGCCGTTCGGAGAGATGGCCGTCGACTTGGCTGCTGCCGTGCTGCTCGCACCTGCTGCTGCTCGTCGTACATACAATGATGATAGCCACGTCAGGACGTAGGGCGCATAAGAAAAAGGTTTGCCAAAGTATATAGTGATCGAGAAGCACATTGTTGCAGCATATATCGATCTGATCATGTAGCAGGGGTTGCATTTATCTATCTATATAGATGTCCAGCTGGGCCAGGCACAATGGGCCGGCACGGGCCCAGCCCGAAAAAGCACGGCACGGGCACTGAGCCCATAGTGCTAGTGCCGGCACGGGCACGATCTAGGGCCATGCCTGGGCCACAGGTACGGCCTGCAGTGCCGACACGGGCACGTAATGATTAATGGGCCAGCACGATGGCGGCCCGATATGATCTAGCCGTTGGATGCCTCCTATCTTTTTCTAGCCGTTGGATGAGCTTGATGTGCAAAACCTAGATATAAAAGCAGTTCTCCCTCGGCCCTCTCCCTCCTAGCCGGCCGCCACTCCCTCTCACTGTGCCCAGACCGCGACTCTCTCTCGCTCCGTGGCTCCCTCCCTCTCACTCCTCTGGCGTCCGATCGCGTCCTCGACTCCTTCTTCGCGCGCTCGCTCCTCCAGAGTCCGAAGTCCGGTCCCTCTCCCTCGCTCCTCGACTCCTCCCTCCCTCTCTCTTGGACACTCGCCCTCTCTAGTCTGAAGAGATGGCGGCGTGCGCCGCCTCCCTCAGCCATGGCGCAGTGGAGGGCAACGACAGTGGCGATGCGGGGGCGCTCGAACAGCAGCGGCGCGGATACCGATGGCGCGGCAACTGCGATGGCAAGGACGCTCGTCGCGGCGAGCTGTGGTGCTCGGGCCGGCACAGGCATGATGGGCTGCCGTGCCTACAAGCACGGCACGGCACGGCTAACCGGCTGTAGGGCCGTGCCTGGGCCGAGGTGCCGGCACGGTGGCACTATCAGGCACGGCACGGCACGACAACGCCGCCGTGCCTCACCGTGTCATGCCTCGCCGCGCCGTGCCGTGCCGTGCTTGGGCGGCCCGTTTGGACAACTATATCTATCTATATATCAGTGTAGGATTGGAGGCATGCAGTATATTGATCCCACACGTACATCGAAACTTTGGCGCCATGCATGCATCAGTGCTGTGCATGTGCATGTACGTCAGGTCATCAGATGTGATGATGAAGTAGCAACGAGGTGCATGGCATGGCATTTGGCACATATATACTACATGCATAGGCATATAGTAGCTACAGTACTTCTGTCGAATGGTTGTAACGTGCTTGCACATCGGCTGTGTACTGTTTTTTTTTTGGCGACGAATCGGCTGTGTACTGCTAAACAGTTGAGTTGGGTCCGTTTCAAAAAAAGAAAACAGTTGAGTTGGATTATACACGGTGTGGTGTACGTGCTTTATATGCCATATATACCCTAGCTTGATTGGAGAGAAAAACTATTAACAGTGGAAATTTAAAGTGATGATTTCGCTTTAAAAAATCGAAACCTTGTGATAAATAAATTAGTCAACATATTCTACAGCTTACTGTTGCATCTAGTCATCATCGGTTTTTGTATCTGTGTGACTACTGTGTGAAAACTATGGCCTAATTATATAGGACATGATGATCGAGTTAGGTTATCGACTTGAAATTTAAAATCAAGAGCTCAGATCTAAAACTCAGGGGTACATTTTTTAAATGATTTCAAATTGTCCCTGCAAGCACCATCATTATAGCTAATCGCCTTAGTTTCAATTCAAAGATTATACTTTGTAATAAGATGCATGCTGATGACATCAGAGAACTAGCTATAGTTTAGTGATATAAAGCTTCTTACTCTTGAGATCATTACTGTATGAGGTAGTTATGCAAATATCCGCTTTCTTTGGTGGTGGCGGCGACGAGTCCTTGTCCTGTGCGCTGATGGGCTTCCGGCGGCGGCGGTTGTGCTCGGTGAGCCGCTTCCGGCAGCTCCTCTTGGCCTCATCAAACTCAGCAAGCACATGAAATCTATCAAAGAAATGAACCAAGATAAATATGATATCTGTATCCATATATTGGCATGTTCGGTATAGCTTCATCAACTCGATCTAAAAATATCTAGAGCTACATATAACTCCAAATTTTTTATGGAACTAGAGTTGAGGCTACATTATTGGGACTCCTGTTTATGGAATCCTTTTAATTCTAGACTAGAAGTAAACATAGATATTTAAACCACCTCGTTTCAGTTAGTTGTTATATGTGAACTAAATCTGGCTTAGAGCTGGGAGGGGTGAGCTACGTACGTATGCTAATTAAATGTGACCTATATATATGCATAATAGGCCCACATACATACTCCATATGTAATCAGGTACGTACGCGTAGATGGCCTGTGATTGTGAAGACATACATATAAGTACGACCGTTTGCAATAATGGTGATTGATGAAAGTGTGGGTACAGTGGTCAATGTTTGGTAGTACGTACTCCAGTGGTGAAGTGAAAATGTGCAGATGAGTAGTAGATGACCCCGGCCCTCCCGGTCTCTCGTGTTAGGCCTTGTTTAGTTCTCTTCATAAAGTTTACTCCTTATTCCATTGAATGTTTGACATATTATATGAAATATTAAATATAGACTAAAAAATAATTAATTGCATAGTTTGTGACTAATTTGCGAGACGGATCTGTTAAGCCTAAATTAGTTCATGATTTGACAATGTGGTGCTACAGTAACACGTGCGCTAATGATGAGTTAATTAGGCTTAATAAATTCGTCTCACGGGTTACTGATTGATTCTGTAATTTGTTTTTTTATTAGTCGATGTGACATAAAAAAACTTTACTGACTTGAATTTAAATAAGGCCTTTAACTTTATCACATCTATCTGACGTGACGCGCATCATCTGATATGATCGCCGGCGCGCCAGTCCTACTTGGCACTGGCAGCAGCATCTACTAGCTGACTCGACAGGTTGCAGCCTTCTCACTGATTTTCGTTTTTTTTCCCGGTTCCGTTGCATACATTAACTGTTTGGTTGTTAGTATACGAGTATGTAAGTGATGCTACCATAGCCCTGTAGCCCTGTACAAACAAGTGATCAATCCCAGAGAAGAGAGAAAGAGAGAGCAGAGTTGAGAGAGAGAGAGAGGGAGGGAGGACCAGTACCAGTAGCAAAGGCAGTAGGAATGCTTTGCATGATTGCACTCTGCATGATATTGAACCAGACCAGAAGAGGAAGAGCACTCTACAATCTATACATCCGCATGAGTGCATGTATATGATGTGTATACGCTAGAGAGGAGAGATGAACGTCGTGCTCAGGCGCGCCCATGCCATGCATGCATGTGGCAGAGCGTAGCTGTGCATGCATACATTGCTTCGCAAATTGCGTCCCATGTTATGCTCCTGTGCCCATACGTTACGTGACAAGGCAAAGCGACAGTGCAAGAGACAACAAGGAAAGGTGCCTCAACAGTGCCCAGCACGGCACACAAACACGTAGGTAACGGGCTGGCCGGCCAACGGGGCCGGGTGCGTACGTGTGGGCAGTGGGCACATGTCCTGACCTGACAGGGGCCACACCACCCGAACCAGGCCGGCCGGTGGCATGCATGCATGCAGGGGAGGGACACATACACGTACGTACCTGCTGCATTGCTGGCAGAAGCGCTGCTGCTTGCCGGCGGCGGCGACGGCGCCGGCCTTGGCGTGGTACTCGCAGACCTTGTGGCGGCGGTGGTAGTGCTTGGCGGCGGAGAGGTCGGCCTTGCAGCCCTCGGCCTGGCACCGCGGCGGCTGGTGGTGGTGGTGGGCGGCGCCGAGCCCGAGCCCCAGCACGCCCATGCCGAGTCCCATGCCCATGCCCACGCCCACGCCGCCGCCGCCGAGCCGCGACCGCATTAGCAGCCGGTCCACGGCGAGCACGTCCGCGGGGGAGAAGTAGGTGCGGCGTCCGAGGTTCAGGCCGATCCTCCCGCCGCCGCCGCCGCCGCCAGCGTCCACGAGGGGGCCGCCAGCGTCCTCCCGATTCAGGAACCCTCCCGCGCCGGCGCCAAAGGGGTAGACGACATCCGCCGCCATAGGCACGCCGCCAGGGAGCGTCAGCAGCAGCGACGGCGGCATCGCCGCCATGGCGGCCATGCTTGGCGGCGGCGGTGCCAGCGGCAGGCTCGCGGCGGGCGGCAGGAGACCAGATTCTTGGAACGGTAACCCCGCGGCAGCGAAGTCGAAGCTGTCGTATACTCCTAGGTTGTTGTGGTTGTTGTTGTGCTGCAGTAGCGGCCTCTTGACGACGCCTGGCATGGCCATGCCGGCGGCATCGAAGCCGACGTAGGGCTGCATGGGGCCGAAGGAGAAGTCGACGTCGGTACTTGTTGGCGACATCGAGTTGGTGTTCATCATCCTACTACAACTATACTCTGGGTGTACGTGTGCAGGAGCCAGGAGCTCAGGAGGAGGGAGCACAGGGGAAACGGGAAGAAGAGCGATCGAGCTATGTGTGCGTGTGAAGTGTGTGAAGCAGTGGTGGCCTTGTGGGTGGTTAAAAAGGCTTTACTTGAAGGCAGTGGAAAGAGAGAGAAAAGAGACTACATTACTCTCTGCATTGAAGGGGGCATAGAGAGAGAAAGAGAGAGAGATTGAGGGCCCATTTGGCATGGTTCCGGCTCGTGAAGAAACAACTTTGGCTCTGCCTCGTATGGAAAATTAGTTTTTTCTGACTCTGGCTTATTTTGTACGAAAACGTTTGGCAAAACGGCTTCTCCTAGTGTAAAGAAGATGTGAAATGTTCAAAATATCCTTATATTTTTTTTCTTTTTTCTTTTTTCTCTTCATTTTTCTTTCTTTTTTTTCTTTTTCTTTTCTTCTCCCTTCTTTTCTTCTCCTTATCCGAACGGCCTCACTTCATCCATCTCTCTCTCTCTCTCTCTTGGGCGGAGGCGGGGGAGGCTGGGCAGGAGGCGGGCGTGGGCGGCTCAGGAGTCCAGCTGCCCCCAACCGTGTGCCTGCGTCTTGCTTGCGCCGCCATTGCCCATGACCGCGCTGGCCCCATGGTTGCCTTGGCGTCGCGCCTGCCGTCGGCGGCAGCTGCGGCCCCGCATCGACGTCGTCCACTGCTCATCCTCCTGGGACAAAGATGGAAAATGAGTTGTTGGGACGAGGAGAAGCCGGTATGAGCCGCTATTTTTGGCTTCTCCCCGGTGGAGAAGTGTAGAGAGCGGGATTTTAGGGGCTTTCGTCGGCTTCCGCTCGTGAGCCGTTTTGGTTTTGTCCGTTTGGCACGGCTTCATCAAAAGCCGCTCGAGAAGCTGCTCGTGAAGCCGTGCCAAAGGGGCCCTGAGAGCTGCTAGTAGCTAGCTCTAGGTGTTACTCACTTGTTGGTGCGCCGCAAGTTTGTTTGTTTTTTTCATTTTTGAAAAGCTACCAGCAGGAGATCTGCGGCCGGCACGGTAATAAACTCTATAGTCTCTAGCTACTTTCTCTCTCAGTCCCTTTTGGTGAAACGCACACGCTCTCTCTCTCGATCCCTTTTGGTGAAAACTCTCTGCAAAAGCGCACAGTGCGTGAGCTACGTACGTGTGGCCACCCACACGGTAACATCTTGAAAACCACGTAGGTTGGCGCGAGATGCATGGGCTTTTGTCATGTTACCGCATGCACACACCAGCTAGCCTGCTGATCAGATCAGAAAGGTGATGGCGACGGGCCGGGCCGGCGTACGACGGCGACGAGCCGGAGCCGGGTGAGGGTGGCGGTGGCCGGGTGGGGTGCGGGGTGCCTAGCCTTTTTCTGCTTCGACCGGCGCGCAACGAAAACACAGGAAGCTAGGGCAGGCAGGCGGGTGCAGTCGACCAGTCGTGCAGGCGATGCTGCATGCAGATGCAGAGATCATATATGCCACCGCTGCCGGGCCCTAGGATCGGAGTCAGAATTCACACAGCTAGCCGGACGGCCAACATGATTGCCCAGCAAAGTCCGTCGTCCAAAATTATTGCCCCCCATACACATGCATGCATATATTGCTGATATATAGCTAGCTACGATCACAAATTAAAAATGCATATGAGTATACCTCGGGTTTTTGTCTTAACAATAACGGATATCGATTACAACCGAGGCTAATCCCAATCCATAAACTACGAGATGCTTAGAAAACATATTCCTAATAGATAGTTTCTTTAAAATTAAATTATGTGTAATGAAATGTCTTTTCTCTCTTAGTATTTACCAATCACATCTCTTCATCTCTCGGTTCTCATGTAGACATGGTTTTCTATATAAAAACAATCTCTCTCTATTAACTACAATGTCACATCAACATTTTAATTAGTTGACACGATAATTAACTACAATTGTGATTGGCCTTTTTGCATTGGTCTTTTCAAAGTATTCATAGAATTGCTAGACCATGAATCAAATAGTACATTTGGGCAAAGATGTAAACCATGAAAAGGCAGTACCAGTGAGAGATAAAGAAAAGTTTCGTACTCTCATATAGTCTTATGTACTGGCTTCACCAACTATGAGAGATATAAACTAATGTGTTCCACAACGGTTTTACTATCTTCACCACTAAATTCATAAAAAGCAGATACCCACCAACCATAAGGAGCTTCCAAGTAATCAAAGTGTAGTGTGTATGGCCTATGATAAGCAGGCTTCTTCCATTTAGAGGAGCCATGTGGGTTTGTAGCATGTGTTGAATCTTCACTAATTCGGCTAGAGCTAGAAGTAGCATATGAAGACGAATCATGAGCAATAGCATTCTTGCACCTTGCTGAATTTTTATTGATTCTGCTACAGTTTAGGTTTTAGGAGACAAGACTATGGATATATTAACGGAGGCGAGCACAAAATGTGCTTGTCTCCTAAAATGTACATAGATTTTCAGTGGCGGTTGACTCATTTACGGAGGCACACTATAAGCATCCGTCTCTATAAATTAATTAACAGAGGCGGACCTCTCCTCCAAAAATGAAAGCCATTTTCAGAGGTGGACCTCTTAAAAGATCTGCCTTTGTTAATTGAGGCTAGCTCGGTAATAAGCTATTTATTTGGATTAACAAAGGCAGAAACATAAAACCATCTCCGTTAATTGTGATTAACAGTGATGATTGAGCAGAGGCGGGCGTGGTGTGATCGCCTCTGTTAAGCTATTTTGGCCGTATCTGTGCTTTTATTGTGCTAGTTATCCTGATAAATTCAAAACTTGAGTCCGTCCCTGACCATCGACGCATAACTATAGATGATAAAAACGACTAAGGCATATATCAATATAATATATGTATGCATCATGCATGCTAGTTAGGCATATATGCAGCAGCATCTGCATGAATGCAGGCACGTAGTATGCGCTTGCACGACTTACAAAGAGCTGGTTGCGGGGAATGATCATGTTCGTACGTAGTGCCATAACATACCAGCATACCTACGGACGTACTCCCTCCGTACCCAAAATTCTTGACGTTTAGGACATAATTGTGCTTACCAAGGAGTGATTAATTAAGGGGTATTTTTCTCTGTCTGCCCCTATTAAATATGGTTGCGCGTGCATCTCATACGAGAAAGTTACCCATCTCAGTGGCTAGTGCACTGAGGCGTGAGAGTGGCGAGCTGGGGTCGATTCCTAGCGGCCACAATGTTTTTGCTGGGGGCTTCATTTGCATGGGATTTTTTGCATGGCACTGTTGGGCCCTGCGTGGCGCGTTTTTTAGGTCAGTTTTTGCAAAGGATTGGTCGTGGCGCGCGCTGAGCCGCAGAAGTCGCTGGGCGCGTTTGTTTTCTCATTTGGGCGCGTTTCTTGGCGCTACGGCCGTGTTACACCGTAATTTTTTCGTTGTTTGCGTTGGCGCCACGGGATTCTAATTTTAGTGCTCGCCGGCTCCGTCGTTTGAGTTCCACAGTGCGTAATAAAACTTAGTCTTTCCCCCGGCCTTGCTTGCTTGCTTGCTTAAACGCCTCATCTCCTCACTTCGTTGCTTGCTTGCTTGCCGTGCTAGCTTGCTTCCTCACATGGCTTAGCTTTTCTCCTTCCACATCTACGGCGCAATGGCTGAGTCTTGCTTCGGCTTTGATCTAAACGTCCGTTTAGAGGATGATGACGACGGCAACCTTCCCTTGGATCTCAACGAGCATGAAGGTGACGATGGCAACACTGGATTTGATTTGAACGAGCCTGAAGATGACGAGCATGGCATAGGTACTACCTCTTCTTGTCTTGTGCATGTAAAACACCATTTTTTTCTCCTGTTGCATGTTCTTCTTCTCTTGTCGCTAAACCAGCATGTTCTTCTTTTTTATAGGATTCAATTTGAACTTGCCACTAGATGAATTTGGAGCTGTTGATTTTGATTACGTACAAAACCTAGCTGGTAAGCATGGCCATTATTTTGATTATGTACTATTAAAATGCTTGTTTTATTCCTATATTTATATCATGCCGTGAGTACTATGAATAAGCTTGTTGTTTTCCCTATATTTAGATCATGCCGTGACTACATTTTACTATGAATAAGCTTGTTCTTTTTCCTATATTTACATGTTAGAACAAGATGTTGAGACTCCCATTCAAGTACACCCGCCGAAGCATGATTATCCTGAACATGTTAGAAAACAAGTGTACCATTGTTGATGACAAGCAAGAATGGGAAACTAGGCAAGCAAGATACAACAATTGTTGCCGGTCAATTTGGAGTAAAGATTCGATCAGTTCAGCGCATATGGAAGCAAGGTAAAAACCAACTTGCTCAAAACATTCCGGTCATGGTTGCTAGTCTAAAGAAAGGTAGATGTGGCTGTAAAGCAACCCCTCTTGATTTGGAACAACTGAGCAACATTCCTCTCAAGCAAAGAATGACCATAGAAGATGTGTCTAGTAGGCTTGGTATTAGCAAATCTAGGATACAAAGGTATTTGAAAAAGGGTTTGCTTAGGTGCCACTTTAGTAGCATAAAACCTTACCTCACTGAAGCTAACAAGAAGACTAGGTTGAAGTGGTGCATGGACATGATTGAGCAAGGTTTGGTTGATGATCCAAAGTTTAAGGATTTGTTTGACTTTGTGTTTATTAATGAGAAATGGTTCTACCTTTCTAAAAAATCTGAGAGGTACTACTTGCTACCCGAGGAAGATGAACCACATCGCACTTGCAAAAATAAGAACTACATCCCTAGGATCATGTTCTTGTGTGTATGTGCTCGGCCAAGATTTAGAAATGGAGAATGTGTGTTTGATGGCAAAATAGGTTGCTTTTCACTAGTCACTTTTGAACAAGCTATTAGAGGAAGTCACAACCGTCTTCGCGGAGAGCAAGTAATCAAGCCAATTCAATCAATCACAAGGGGGTGATAAGAGATTTCATGATAAATAAAGTGTTGCCTGCAATTAGAGCCAAGTGGCCAAGAGAAGATGTGAACAAGCCGATTTTCATACAACAAGACAATGCTCCTTCTCATTTAAAAGTGGATGATCCTCAATTTTGTGAGGTTGCTAAGCAAGATGGGTTTGACATTCGGCTTATATGTCAACCACCCAATTCTCCAGATTTTAACATTCTAGATTTGGGTTTTTTGAGCTATTCAAGCTATTCAATACAAGGAAGATGCTAAGACAATGAAAGATCTAATTCCAGTAGTCGAACAGGTAAATGATCATCCATTCCATTGTTTCAATACAAGAAAGATTGTTTAGAAGATCTAATTTCTTGAACACATGTTTTGTAGGCATTCTTGGAGTACAGTCCATGGAAAGCAAACATGATTTTTGTAACACTACAATCTGTTTTGAAGGAAGCAATGAAGCTTAAAGGTTGCAATAATATAAAAATTCCTCACTTGCGGAAACAAAGACTAGAAAGGGAAGATAGGCTGCCATTGCAAATCCCTTGTGAAGCTTCATTGCTAGCCGAAGCACTTGCTAGTCTTCCTGAAACAAATTAGAAGATGCAAGTTAGTTTATGCAAATTATTATATGCGTGTATCTTACGTTTGCAATGGCCAAATTGTGAGATGCATGTACTGTACCTTAGTGCTCTTTGTTTGCTGCTTCTTAATATGCTCATCCACCTTCTTCAAAACTTCATCAGTGCACATGATTCTAGTACCATCCATCTCAAGTTTAACTACATCAGGAAATGTAGAACTCGCAATCGCCAGCGTGCAACGTGCCGCAGCGAGGACAGTGCACGACCTCGTCGTCGTCTGGGACGTCCTCGACGGAGTCTGGCACGATGTCGACGGAGTCTGGCACGAGCTCGACGGAGTCCGGCACGACGACATCGACGGAGTCCGGCACAACATCGACGGACTCCATGGCCACATCAGAGTCCAGCGCGTTGACGGAGACGAGCGCATCGACGGACTTCATGGCCTCCAAGTCCAGTGCGCCAACGGAGTGCTGCGCCTTGACGGACTCCATGGCCTCGAGCGAGCAGGAGAGCGTGGCGGCAAACCCTAAACGCGCTGTCGGCGCGGCCAACCCTAAACGATGGCGGCGAGGAAGCGAGCAGGAAGGGAGGCGGGTGCCGCGGAGAGGAAGGGAGGCGCGTGCAGCGGCCTTTACTCGTACGCGAGAGCCGAGAACGGGTGGCGACCAAGAGAAACGAGGCATCGAGCAATTAATGCCGAGTCCGGTGGCGAGTGGAACGGACGCGAGCGCCAGGGGTAAACCCGTTCGAGCGCGGCCGAGCGAGCGTAGAACATCAGGTTTTGCGAAAACACGACGGGAGCCCAGGACGTCAAGAATTTCGGGTACGGATGGAGTACGAGACAAACTTAACTACGACACCGACTGGGCCCCAAGATGTCCACACGTATAGCGAGCTAGATGCTCTCGAAAACCGTGCATTTATTCTAGACAATGTGAACATGTGTGAGGGCGCGTGGGATCGGACGATTGTCCTGGTGAAATAAATCATTTTTCTTTCAATATCAGTGGATCAGTTTCTAAGTTTTAGAAAATGTGTACATCCGATTTCATCTAGATAAAACTTCTCACATATTTCTTCATAAATTAATTTAGTAACAAGTCATCGAACTTGTTAATTAATTACGTGGCACCTCATCATTTAATAATGAGAATAAACTCCAATAAGACTAGCGTAGCAAAGCCTTTAGCTTATGGGTCCACACGTGATGATAGAGGTGTTAAATAATGCATATTACGTTTACGTCTTTGAAGTCTATCTATTCATAGATATAACTATAAAAACTAGTAGTTGTAGCTTCTCTGCCTCTTACGTCTTAAAAGAAATCTGATGTGGAATTGAGGACCTATACTTCAATCTAAGAGCAAATTCAATATGAGTTCTCAAATCAGGAACCATGCTTTTGATTTGAGGACTCTTCCTACTTTTGAGGGCCAATGTAGCCACTGGGACCTTGCCCCGGATTTCGCCGAGGTAGCGGCCCGCTTGTATTTGAGGACTTTGGGGAGAAGAGCCGATGTGTGTGTGTGTGTGTGGTGGGAGGGGTCTTGTCGGGAAGAGGAGGTAGCATGGCTGCTAGGATTTGAGGACTTGTCGGGGAGAGGAGCCGAGACTGGGGGCTTGCTAGGAGGAGGAGCCGGCGGGGACAGTGTCACTGGGGAACCACGTAGAGAAAGAGAGAGAGAGGTCGGCATGGTGGGGCCGGCCAACGAAGATCTGTTGGGCGCCGTCGGGCGAGTCACGCGAGGGGTACATGGGGGCTCACTGGGGATGACGGAGGAGGCGAGGGGTGGGAGCTCTTCGGGGACGATAGAGGAGGCGGGCGGGCATCGAAGGTTGATTGGCGAGCGCGCGGTAAGGCAATGACCCAACCATCGTTCCTAGAGCTAAAGTAGGGCCCCTGGGAATGAGTAGTAAAAGGGTGATTTGAGGGGGCCTCTCAAATTTGAGGGCCTTAGCAGGGATTATGTTGGAGTTCATTTTTTTTTTCTTCTGGCTCTCAATTTTGTTTTTAGGCCCAATACAAATAAAGGCTCTACTGGACAAATTTGTTTTTAGGTCCAATACAAATAGAGGCTCTACTGGAGTTGCTTTTATAGGACTAAAAGAGTGGCCCTATTTATATTTGAGATGAGTCGCAAAAAAAAAAAATTTGAGATGCCCTTATAGCTATAGCTGATGATAAACCATTGCAGACGCCCTTAGCTTGAGTACTCGGTACAGAGTGCATATGGGATATCTGATCCTAATATAAAATCCATAGCGAAAACGAGAGAAGCTAGATCTGACGTCTCACAACAAGAACAAAAAGTTTCATAAAAAAACAACAAGAACAAAGCTATAATGCTGGATTCAAGTGGTGATCATGCAGGTACGTACATGGTGTATAAAAAGAGTAGGAGTACACTGTCTAACCAATTTACTGTTACTGTTACTGTTACATCATGCGATGCATGCAATGGGTGGTGGCTAGTTTGATGATCGCAAGATTCTAGCTAGCTCTATAGCTAGACTGCTAGAGGTATAGGGGTAATTAATATGAAGATCCTACATTATTTCGTGCTTATGCATCAAGGCTCGTTTGGATAACGAATGAATTAATGCGATGTCTCCGGCCTCCGTCCTCATCAAGCGGTGTAAGCAATAATTTTTTAACGAGCCTTGATGCATGCATCTTCTATTTTACTATTAGGGTTAGAAGGACCAGAGATCAGATATTCTGGTGTAGTCCTCAAACTTTTCTAGATAAAACTGTAAAACAATGAAACCACACATTTTCAATAAGGGGCATTTGGATCCCTTTATTTTGGAGGAATTGAAATCTACTTAATGGATTAGGATATTTAGTTTGAAATTTGATATTCCATAACTTTCTCAAGCACAAATAAACATATCTCAAATTCATAGGGTGAGAGATGAAAATTGATTCTATAGATTATTATACTATATTTCTATTCTCCAACTTATAGCATACTTTTTAACGCACTTCTCTACAATATATAGACTAACAATAATATACAAATATATTTCATATATAATCATATTAGATTAATTAATCTATACCTAAATTATAATTATTAGAATGAATTCAATTTCAAGGATCAACTAGGCCCAAGCAAAAAGCTGAGAATCTCACATGAACAAGGGATAACGAATGAATTAATGCGATGTGTGTATAGACACTTCTTTTCTGACGCTCTCGTTGTTACCTTTTCTGGTGCTCTCTACACGCTATTACCTTCTCATCCATCCCGAGTAATTAAGTTACGTCTGACGACGACAAAACAAGAAGTATATATATAACTTGTGGATTGTAAGTATAACTTTGAGCCGAAATATTCTATAGATATTGTCAGCTGATGTAAAGAATATAACTTGATGTGCATACAGGTATATATATTGAGTGTACTAATAACTTTGTAGAGAGACAACTAGGATGTAACAACCATCTTGAAAACAATGCAATTCTTACGTATCGAGAAGAACCACAACAAAAAAAGTCGCATGTACCTCTTCTTTTTATTCTCCACATATGTTGATTTCATAAAAACAAATAATTACACCTATAATAAATTATATATTTTATTGTATTGTACACCTATATATCACACCACACACCTACTCATAAGCTAGAGTTGCATTTTTTTTGACAAATATGAGTCCTAGAGTTGCATTTTTTTAACACATTTAAGTATGTAACTCTCCGTTGTGATGGTGCATCTTAAGCTTATAATTTAGAACGGAATGAGTTACAAACTCATGTGGCCCCCTCATGACAAAAGTAGCTTGGTGAAAACTCATGATAAGCCTAGGTGAACTTACGTATATACTATTTATGATTGGAGAGAGCGAGTACGAAGCAAGCAACTTCACATGAAACAAATTAAACACCACCATATGCATATCGAGAGCATCCCTTTAATGCATGTTCTTGATTTAATTTCAAAACGAGAGAGAGAGACAGGGTAAGTTAATGACAGATGCACTCATTAACTCGGGATCTTGCTTTATCTAGAGGCCAGATCGTTGGCGCCTCGCCATAGTATACTAGTAGTAGTATTAACGTGCCATAGATCACGTAAGGATATATGCAAATTAATTCCGGTGCCGACGTTATGCCGCTCTCATGCAAGGGAATTAATGGCGCGCGCTGTACATTTCGGCCGCTCGTACCGGCAGCGTTAACCCAGGGTTTCAATATAATCAGCCTATCTGTTTCAGTTAGGGCTTATTAATCAGTTAACAATATTTTTCTCTTACAACAAAGCAGCAACAATCAGGCTTACCAGCCAAGAAACCAACCAGCGAACAGACAAAATGTCCCGCGACGAGCATGCACTGTAGCACAAGTACGCGCCATTTACTTACGTGCTCGATCAGCCCGGTTATTATGAAATTATAAAATTGGACACGTGCGGGAAATAAATTAAGCCCTTGTTTAGTTGTAGGAATTTGAATTTTGGGATTACTGTAGCACGTTCGTTTTTATTTAGCAAATAGTGTTCAAACATGGACTAATTAGGCTCAAAACGTTCGTTTCGTAATTTCCCATCAAACTGTGTAATTAGTTTATCTTTTCGTTTACATTTAACGCTCCATGCACGGGCCGCAAACATTCGATGTGACAAGTACTATATCAACTTTTTGGAAATTAGGGTGGAACTAAACACGCCGTAAGACACACGGCGCGTCGTACCGCGCATTTGTGACACGTACAACAAGTCCAATATATGCTGAAGCGGCCTGTCTCGGCTCTATCTATTATATACTCTCTTCGGCGTGGCTTCTCTCAAGGGGTTTTAGCTCTGGCGCTTCGATCATATGACCTAGGTAAAACTCTACTTAACATTAGCTCGTGAAACGCTATGCATGAGGAAAAAATGCAGAGAGGAGAAACAGTTTTTTTACTATAATAGTGAAGCCGCCTAAATATGGATTCTACAGCTTATCTTCTTAGCTGAAGCCATTTGCAAAGAATAATTATACTCTACCAAAGAGAGCCTTAAAGGCTGCTAGGACGAACTCATCATGATGGGCCCTCATATCGTGATACTTCCAATAGCATATCCTTAGTTTAACATGCTTAGTAATGATTCATGAACAACTAGAACTAATAGAACAAAATAAAATAAACATAATATCACTACCATAAATAAGAATCAACATCCATTTATTCTCATGATAAGATACTTCTTTAGAAATTTCTTAATGCAGAGTCATTAAGGACAATATTGAGATCAGTAGTTTCTTAGGCAACATAGAAATTTTTACTTTTCTTAGCACAAGACAAATGTTTCTTTTTCTATTTCTTGGGTAGGATTCAAAAATTCTCAACACCTAAATTAGAAGGAAAACATATATGAGTATACAAGCAATTCGCAATTACCAGTACCTACAATGTACTACATGTTAACATTTCCCGATTGAGCAACAACAAAAAGAAAATAAAGAAAATCAGTAACTTCTCTGGAGTCTTTGACCTTAAGACTTG